GATGACAAATGTCCCATAACTGCATTCTACTTGCAACTTTGGCCCCCCTGAGAAGTGCAAAATACATTCCCTTGACATATCGCTTCTCTTATCCATCTTTTTCTAAATCTTTTTACACAAATGACCTTGGCATCCTACCATCTTATCTCGCCTTTTCTATATCCTTGTCATGAAAGTCATATGCACTGATGTAAGCATATTCAGTATCAACTTCTCTCTGTTCTCTAACAATGTCTTATTGACCACTTCGCAGCCGTTGTTAAGTACTATGTCGCTCTTCGAACGCACTGAAAAATGTGACTGACTCCATTCCCGAGGGTGCCTCTATATCAACCAATCATATGCAGCAATACTCACGTCGCGAAGTTTATGTATCCACATTTTAAATTCGACGACGGTTGTGGACTTCACCGCGTACCAAAGATAATCCTTAAGAATTTTGTTCTTGAATCCCGCATTGAAGAAGTTTGTGTACAGATGTCGCACACAAAATCGATGTTCTGCCTCCGGGAACAATTCATCACATACGTTCTGAAGCTCGTTTTGCTTATCAATCATCAATGTCCACCCGCATCCATTTTCTATTTGAATGTCCTCGACCAGATACTTCATGAACCATCTCCACGCTTTCGTATTCTCCTTTTTGACAACGACATACACCACTGGGTAAATACAATTATTAGCATCTTGTCCAACTGATGTTAACACAATTCCACCAAAACAACCTCGCAAATGGCACTAAAGCATATATATATTCCCTTGAATACTTGCTCATTCAGGGAGATGAATGCAGAAGATCCTGGGTTTGTTCTATAAACTTCCGTAGCATATCTCCTCAATAGGCCAAATTGCTCCTGTAGGGTACTGAACAGGATCTCCTTTGCATATTGCCTCATCTTACAAGCAACATTTCTACTTATTTCCGTCTTCAAATCACTCCTTGCAGTCTCCAAAATGGACTTTATCTTCTAATCGGGATCTATTTTAAATTGTTCAATATATCGATGTGCCAGGAAAATGTAGTTGCAATGTCTGTTGTATTTACTCTGTGTGCATGTATGTTCGGCCGTTTAAGACTTCACTTGTACCGTCTCAGTCTCGTTCAACTTCAAAATCCAAATCCTCCAAGAGCACCCCGGTTTGCAAACTCCTTGACCTCTTTTCCTATCATTACACCTCAACTTCACATTATATCCGTTTAGAGCACCGTAACTTCTCACCGCGCATCTAAACTCTTGCATTGATCGAAATAGTTGTCCGACCTCTAACTTTGGATTTCTCATATCCGTCTCACCAAAGAATTCAGGGAAGCGGTGACCAACCTCTTCGTCCGATGAACATTCCAACATTAGGTCTTCGAAGGATGGATACTCCAAGTCATCAAATGTGTTGGCCTCATCCATCTCCCCTTGAAACACTACTGCTTCACCTTGTGCCACTGTGTTGATGTCTATACCAATCTCAATACCGTCTATCACATTAAGATCGTACAGCATATCATCTTCCTCAGAGGCCTATCAAGATAGAGTCTTCCTCACCACCTAAAAAAATCCGTGCAAAAAAAAAAATTAAACTAAAAATCTTTCTTCCACCTGTAATGTAGACAATTAAACTAGCTGCTATTTGTCTCTCAGTTAGCGTGTTCAATCTAAACGGAAGTCTAACTGAGTCAAAATAGTGTATAATTCACAAGTTAGATGGCATAATCGATTATGAAATTGAACAACGGTACTTACTTCCACTTTGGTCTCCCGCCATGAGTGCAACTGAAATGGCTTCAGGGGAGAAGAACAATCGCCTGCAAGGGGGAGAAGAAAACGTTCTAAGGCTCGGACCTTGAATTAGGGATTTAGGGCAGGGGTTAGGGATTTTTAAGTTTTCAATGAAGATCGCGTTTTGAAGCTTGAAATCTCATTCATGTTGGCCGAGTTTGACGTCGTCGATTGCCACTTCAGCTGTCATGAAGCCACGTCAAACGGTTTCAAACGACTGGGACGCCGAGTGATGAACGAGGCGGTGAGTTTGGGAGTTTGGTGACCCTTCAGCCGCAAGAAGGGGTTGAGTGACCACAACATGACGAAGCGGGAAGTTAGGTGACTACTCAAACTTTTTACTCTCGGTTTCAAAGTACAAAGCAAACTGTTTTTTCTTTTCTCCTTTCTCACAGCTACGTTTTCTTCTATTCTTTTCTGACAAATCACACGCAAAAAATGTGCTAGGGTTAAACAACCATATATATAGATATAGGTTAGGCTTTAGTTGGTTCAAAAGAAGGGTTAAATGGGCCAAAATCCAAGAGCCGTCTAATAGGTAAATATATGGACCGTGAGCAACATTAATTCCTTAAGCTACGTCCAATGGTCCATGGTATTTTCGAGTCAAGCATTTAGACTTTGTTGTTGGTCATCATTTCACCATTGGCAAAAAATTGTGAAAATATATTCCGACGTTTTACATCATCAACTGAAATTCATTGGGTGCGTTTGATTGCAATAATGGAATTTGCATGAAAAAAAAATAAATTATAGGTAATTCGATTATTTAGAATTTATTTGCATGAAATTTGTCAATTAAATATGTTTGATTGATTTAATTTTCAATCTAAAAAATATTATACTTGTCCATTTTTTATTGCTTGTTATATGAGAAAAAGTGGATACATGAGAGAACGAATTCCTTGAAAAATAAAATCTCACTCCCCAAAAAAAAAATATTTTCCTTGATTTTGAGGAAAATATGGCCACGTGACCAAAAGTACGAAAATATTTTTTCATGAAAAAAATGACAATTAAATAGCATAAAAGTAGGAATTTGGATGGAAAAAATACATTTTTCATGAAAAATATTGACAATCAAATGCACCATAAAGTATCAAAATCCAACAATTTAGCTATCTACTCTAGTCAAGGTCGATTAACTTTAAGTGGAAATCTCATGTCAAACATATAACGAATTGAACTATTGTTTAACAAAATTAATCTTTCAAAATGAAATCTAAGACCCAATACAACTAGATTGGAATTGAGATGATGTGAGTCAAATTCTTGACCTTGCATGTTGATTTAACCCGATTCATTTTCACTTCACGAGGGTCTATTAACCCTATCCTTTATCAGCAAATCTTAATATTCTATATATTTTCAAATAAATGTTTTATGACAATCAATGAATTCCAAACTATTTTAAGAATTATGACACGATTCAAAAAGTTGTACGCGATTTGTGCCTGCAAGATTAGCTCAATCCGTAGTATTGATCGGATTAAGGAATCTGGCTTTGTAAGCAACGATGTCTATTGTTCAACTTGCAACATATTCTCGAACACTTTGGAGCCCACTGTATCGGATTCAAAGAGATCGAATAAGACATCAATCGTTTTATCTAATATTGTCTAGTTAAATATAACGAATGTTGAGCAATTGACAAACAACAATGGATAGACAAGTAAATATATGGTATTGATGTTCTCGTGGAGGAAAATATGAATCTACTTTAATCTGCAAAAAAGAAGAAACGAGTTCTACTCAAAATTATGTCAAAACAATCCATATACAAGCCATTTTCCAATAGAAATTTCACAGCGCTATCGAATAGTCTTGCATCGAACAAGCACAGTGTCCTAGAAATGTTACTGCAAGAAGAATTCTCATTTCTACGATCTAATTACAAATTTATTAGGCATAACCCAGTGGTGCAAAAGATAGAGTTGGGTAGTCTCAGCCTTACCGACAGTCGCAATATGGGGGTTTGATTCCTAAGATATGGAATTGAACTCTTTGTGAACACCAGTGTACGGCAAGCTCTTGTTCTCTGGCGTACTGGGGTACATCCATCAATTTACCTCCCTCACGATGTTTTAGGGACGGGAAGGTGAGGACCCTCATGGTTAGGGTTCAACCTTTTTATTAGGCCTTTTCATTTGTCATTTTCAGTTAAAAAAGTTTCAATTTAAATTTTGCTGGGAACAACCTAAGAAGCGATTTAAAAGCCAATAAATATTGAAAACTGAATAAAAAATAATATCGACCTAAGCGTACTAATCCAAAAAGAATCTACTAAATTCATTGAGTAATATGAAAAAAGTTTACTCATTTGTCCGAGAGATCCCAAACTAATACTATGATAGAAGCAAAATCGAAGATCTCAATTTTTAAATTTGTATTTATACTACAAAAACTTGTAAATACACATACTCACATTAGTGCGAATTTTAACAAAATCAACCTGAAAGCTAGTGTACTAAGCTTTGCGTACAAACAATGAGGTCAACAATAAAATAAATTGTATGTCCTTGGTGCGAATGTTTGAAAGCGTTCATGCATGACCTCCACATGGATGTAGAGCAAGTACCGTACCCTTGTATACTTTATATTCATCGAGAAACTATTAAGAATTTTTAAGATTTTGCTCGAGTAGCTTTGGTCCGTGGAGATAATGTTGTTGGCCTACCATAAAATATCGAGGTAATCCCTGGGACTTTCTTATACTTAGGAATATCTTTTAAATCAAAGATTGATTTGATGTCACTAATTTAATTCATCATACTTCTCTTTGTCTACTCAATCTAGCATAAATTATGAAATATCGATCTTATATCCAGACTCAATGCACTAAATATTTCTCTGGATTTACTATCTCCTATAAGCTAAATTAAGCGGAGAAAACAATTCTCCTATCCGAGTCCTCTTTCACTAGATTTGCCTTGAATCTTGGTGATGTTGTAAGAGGTAGACGTGTTAGCGTCTCCACTTGCGCTACATTTTTTTTTTCTCAAAATTGAAATTTATTTACTTTTGAAAAAATTAAAGATATTTACTTTACTGTATTTGGAAGTAATAGAAATACACCTCACCCAAAAAAAAAATAATAATAATAAAAATAATACACCCTTGGCATTCATTACTTCACTATTAATAAATGTGGTATGGGTTCAAAAACCCGGCTGCGTAATTGAATCAGTACTGGGCCGAAACAAACTTGGGCCTCTTGGTTTACGCTCAAGGCCTTACTATAAATTAGATGGCGAACGCTAGGGTTTTGCTCTAGTCGCACTCGGCACTCGCCTGTTATCCATCTGTTTCGCGAGGATTCTTGAGCGTAGATTTCGTGTTTCGTCATGAGAGCCAAGGTAAATCTCCCTGAGTTTTTCTTTCTTTGTACTATATTTGTTACATTTGTTAATTATATTTTTGTGGGATTTATGTGATTGGTAACAGTGGAAGAAGAAGCGGATGAGGAGGTTGAAGAGGAAGCGTCGAAAGATGAGGCAGAGATCCAAGTAGTTTTCTTTGCTGATTCCGGTCCTGGTCCCTTCCGCGTTCTAGTGTTCTTGTTTTTAGACGTATTTTTGATTTCGTGAATTTCAATTTGTATTAGTACTATTAAATTTTGGAATTACAGTTGATACTTATGCATCCAATCAATTTATATTTCAATAATTTCCAAGTTTTAGTTGTTTTAATTTGTTTACTTGGACCTGTTTGAGACCATTTTTGGGGAAAAATAGGTTTTGGAATAGTGATTTTTGGAGAGTGAGGGGTTGAAATTATGGACACGTTTTGGTTTTAGTGTAAAATTAATTTTACGGGAGAGCGTGGGATTGAAATGTGTGTGTGAAAAAATTAGATTTGGGAACAATGGATCTTAAACATAGTCTAATGTCAATCCACTTTATATTTTATCTGATGTTTCTGTTCTTTGTGGTGCTTGGAGTTTGATTTGATGCCGAGTAAGATTCGAATTTTGAATATTTGAAACCATCAGTCAATATTAATTCATATGCCTTTATATTTTTCAGTCTAAGTTCTCAATTTTTGCACATGCCTCTTTGTACAACGTAACAAGTGATTAAACTTCATGGGATTATCGATTTTATTAAATGTTCGTTCCTTATGGTGGTGCCAGAAGGGTTAAAGATCAGTTCTTGATATTATTACCCCTTCTAGTTTTGTATTCACATAATTCAAGAGTTGAAAACTACATCGGTGTAGTTGTAGGAGATGTTGACTCCATTCAATTTGTCGAGTTAATGCCATAGTTTTGAGAACTCTTCGTAGATTAATCACCATTCTTTTTCCCTATTCGTATGGAAGTGACGATATTCATCTTCCATTACATTCTTGCTTGCTTCCAACTTGGTCAGGTTATTCACCAGTAACTCTCAGGTAGGTATTTCTAGCATTAAAGATTGTTCTTTTGCAAAACTAAAGGCTTAATATTCAAGTTACGGCTGCATTATATGAAATTGAGGCTGCATAGCGCGTGCAAATGCAGCTGTGACTGCAATTGCAATTAGCTTGGTATGATAATCTCTGCCCAAACTTGTTCTATGTTGTAACTTTACATTGGAATGTTGAGTGTGCTTTTTGTGTATTCCTGTGCTCAAAACAATTATGAAATTATTTGGAATCATTTTTTATTTGCACATTTGCTAGAAGATTTGTTATAGTTGGGCTGCAAATGGCACATTATGGGACAATACCAGTCTTTCTATGGAAATATAAATGGGCACCATTGGCTGGGCTTGGACCAAATACGGCCCGAGCATGGCTGAGTTGGTCGATTTACACTCTTTTGAGAATGGAGCATGTGCACGGAGATCAAACGTGTTGTTCACATTCTAGAGTCTCTGGCCACTTGACAATTTCTAGATATCTATGATTAGAGCTAGCTTTGTATCCCGATTCTAGGCCCTTTTATGAGAAACATTCTTCGACACGAGATACGGAGAGGCGAAAGCCAGAAACTTGACAGCCATTGTAAACCTGTTGGACCTGCTTGGAAGTTTATTTTTCACTGATTTTGATCCTTTTTTGGTGGAATTCTGCTACACTAACAGAAAATGGATGACATGCGCTTTGACAGATCTCTCACATTGTGGGTGGGGCCCACTTTTCTGGAAATTTTTTATTCGCACGGGCCTCAGACACGTGAGGGTGTCAACATTTGTGTCGCCCATTTTATGTTGCAGTAGTTTAATTCTTTTTGGTGACATTGTTTATTGGAGGTTGGGAAAATCGGTGCTTGTTAGTATTTGGTGGATCTCAACCCACTAATTCGGTGGATCTTGATTATATTTAAAATTTTGTTTGAATTTTACCCCTATTAAATAATTATTTGCAATCCACATAATTTGTTCAAAACTAACTTATATAAAAAAATTGTTTATAATAAAAAATAAATAAATTTATAACCAAAAAATTTATAAGAAAATTGAAAATTTTCTTTTGTATGAAAAATTGCTTAGAGTCAAAGTACTACTAGTAAGATAAAATTTACATGTAAAATATAGCTTATTAAATAAAATTTTTACTTGTGAGTAAAAATTATTTGGAAAAAGGCACATGGACAGGCCTGAAAACAGGCTCAAATACACGGCGCCCCTTATTATAAACAACCTCCTCTCCAATAGGGGGCGCCATTGGATTTGAGCCTGTTTTTTGGCCTGTGTCTCAAATTATTTATTAAACAGCCTCTCCAGTAGGGGCACCACCTGGATTTGGGCCTGTCCAAAAAGCAGGTCTCAAATTATTTAAAATTATCATAAGGATTATTAAACGACGAGTAAAGTCAGCAGAAGAATCTGAAACATCAAGTCATCGGCCTGATGAGTCAGAATGACGCTACATAGCAAAATTTCCTGTAATATGAATTTCAACGTGCGTGGAAGAAATGCCTGCCATTTCCTGTCAATTCTTGAGATTGATTTTCAGTTTCAACTGTAAATTATTTTTCTTTTCTAAATAATAAGGTTACAGAAAATGTCTATAATGCTGCGCAAAGTAAATAAGCAGACACATTTGCAAATATCTAGAAATTAGGATCAAGTTTCATAACAGAAATCAAAAACCATCAAATTTAGAAAAATGTGATTAAAATTAATTATTGAATGCTTAAACATTAAACACTAAGCCTTATATTTGATTTTGCTAAATTTCAAATTTTTATTAGATTTTGATAAAGGTGGATGAAATGAGGTTAAAATTAATTATTGAATTTGATTTGAATTTTTATGAACTTCTTTTGCGAAACCAAATAGAGGCTAAGCAATTTGTGCAGTTAAAATTAATTATTGAATTTGATTTAGATTTTTATGAACTTTTTTTAACTAAACCAAATAAAGAGGCTAAGCAATTTGTGCAGCATTTATTAATTGACTTAGTAGTTATAAGATGATGTCCCCTATCAGAGTAACTATGACAATGATGTTAATCCATAGCTTATCAAGTTATTCATCATTTAGGGGCATGTTGAAGGATTTACTACTAGTTGAGATACACGAGTAACGCAACTTGAGACAAGAAATAAAGAATTGATAGAGAATATCATTACTTTAATTTAACAAATAGTAGACAGGAATTATCATTTAGACCCCGTTTGAAACTCATTTTTTGACCAAATCTTATTTTTCTACAGTAGTTCGTAGATTTAAAATGATAAAACAAGTCAGTTTAGTTGTCAGAATGAGTTAATATTGATAATGTCGTTGAGGTGTGTAGAACTATTTTACCCTCACTTTGTAATTGAAAATTTGCACACAAGTACCCTCAACCATTTGAATCACTTTACGTGAAATTGACAACCGTATGTCAAGGGCATGAATGTAAATTGATAGATTTAACATGTGGAACACTCTATTGAATAGTCAAAATGTGTAGCTCTGATTGTCAAACAAAAAACATAACCCCACAAAAAGTGAAAATGGAATCGAAAATTTTGGAAAGAATGGGACCCAAACAACCGCTTAATGCCTTCGACTTACGTGACTTCAATAATAAAATCAAATAATATGTACCAAAAGAATTATTGTGAGCTATGGCATGGAGAAATATCATTCCTAGAATTAATTTTCATCAAATATGACTACAGGAACACATTATGAAATGGCAATATATTTATACATTGAAAACAAAACAAAATGTTCATGCAATTAAATGAGGATGGAATATATGTATTAACATCGCATCATTAACCAAATCTATTCAGAAGAAACTATCAATGGAATTTTAACTAATATTTACCCAAAGGAAAAAGGATAAAAGTAAACACATTACTCAAATAGATAGACAAACAAATAGAAGTTAATAGTAGCATCACTTTCGTGGAGAACATGCAGAAAAACTAATAACACATATGATAACAAAAAATTTGAAGTCAATTTTAAACTTCCAATTTGCTATAACCTCGAGATTATATCATTTATGTGCTGTTGTCGATTTTACATCTGACAAGTGTACGGATCGTAACGAGTAATAAAGTGGACTTATGAGTCCGGATATCGTTCCCATGATGATTACTATTTAACAATTGGTTCAATTATTCATAATTTTAATTTGATCGAAAATAAATTAAATTTTTTTTTGTGATTTTCTATTTTAATATACTAAAACAGATAAAAGTGATTATTTTATTTTATTTTAGATATGATGACTACATTGTTAGGATTCATGATTTTACCATAGTTATTACTTTATTCTCAATTACCAAGTTTTATACAATTGATTATGTTTACCGATCGAATTCTTCTAATGTATTCAATTTACTCATCTCGAGTTCTTATTGAGTCTATTTAACTAATTCAATTACATATTTCTATGTGAATTAACATTAGTTAAACACACTTATGTTCTAAGAATTCATGTAATGATTGAAATAACTAGCATAAGTATCTCTATGTTTTATATTAATTATCGACTTTTACTATGTGGTCTAAACAAATAATTTGCATCTCTACGTAATTATTGTTCACGAAAATAATGAATTAGTGGCCAATATTTAATCAAACATTAAGAATGGAAACAAAAACAATTCACAAAATCAATAAAGCTTTTTAATTAAAATTAAGGTTCAAAATTAGGTGACAATAATTCATCCTAACTAAATATTTAATCACACATCACGGGAGAATAAAAATACAGAAAAGAATTAAAGTACATAACCGGGTATTAAAGAAAAACGAGAAAATGATGAAGATCTTGCACCAAGAATCCGTCTCTTCTTATGAAATCCTTGAAATTCTAGCTTCTTGATTGATTTCTTGATTTTTTTTCCCTCCTTTTGGCTTGAATAATATATGTACAATGAATTTTGAAACCTTTTGCTTGAATGTATGTGTATAATGAAACTCCACAAGCCCTCCTTTAATTATTGGACTAAGGTATGTATTTATAGGAAAGATTTATGCAAAATTCTTGTCCAACTTGATTTCTGCCAAAGAGTTTAAATTAGCTTTTACTAAAAAGTTCAAATTAGTTTCTTCCAAAGAGTTCAAGAAATAAAAGGAAAAAAATTCCTTTTTCAATTGAACTCCTTTTCTCATGTAACTTTATTCCTTCATTTTCTTTTATTTTGCAATTAAGTCCTCTTCATACTAAAATCATAATAGTTGACTCGAGATAAGGTTCGAAGTTTGTAAATCAGTCCTCAAACTTTTTCAAACGTCGAATTCTCAAGTTGTATCTTGCACCTCTCAATGTGTGGAATCTCATTCAATTGCCTCATTTCTTATATTTATAGCTATCCTCACGTTTTTAGTTGTTGTAGGATTTTTATGGGCTCTAAAAGGGCCAAATTCATGTCATAATCTGCATCAACCAATGCCTAGCCACCACTACATGGCATCGCGAAGATAGCATGGAGACACCTAGGCCCCATGATGGTGGCGCCGCAGCGCCATCTCTTGGGAAAATTTCTGAATTGCACATTCTTTAATATATTCATCATAATCTTCTCTCTCAATACTCGATTGAGGCGATTCAAATTTGGTTGTAAATATAACTCAAAAGGCTACAATTTTACTAGTAGTAGATCTTTTCTAATTCAAACTTTTACTTGGCCAAGAATGGGTCTCAATCTTCGACTTAAAATCTGAAACATCCTTGTAATGTTGAAAAGTAATTTTGGACTATATTTTGGTCTTTTTTTTCACTCAATTTGACTTCTAATTACATCCAATTGACCTCTAGTATTTTCAAATCTTCATTGTGAAGTCCAACACAACTTTTGAATATTTACACTTCAGTCTCCAAACTTTGGATCTTGCACCTTTTTGCTGCTTTCTTTCAATTCTACTTTTATTCATCAAGTTTCACCTAACAAACAAAATATATAATAAATTAGGTTATAATTGTTCAAAAGAATTATTAAATGTTTATTTCTTTTAAGTCCCAAAATGCACTTATTAACACAGAAAATGTACGTGATCATCTTCTTTGGAGATCTCACTTCCTTTGGAAGTTAGAGTATCAACAAATATTTTCATCCCAATGAGGAATTAATTCCTTCGTACTCCATTTTCATTTCGTAAGCATCTCGAGCTGAAGTCTGCTTTAATTTATATTTGCATTGCATTTCATTGCAAATTTCTTATCAGTACACAAATGACTTATTTGGTACGCTTGACTGGATAATATTAAACACATTAATGAAGGAAAATATATTATCACGTACATTACTGTCTGATACTGTATGACAAACATACCCAGATAGTCACATGTAATATTGTAACAATCAATAGTTTACGGATTGGAGAGGGAAAAAAAAAACACACACACACACACACACAAAAGATTCATTTTAGAGAAGAGGAAGTTCATAGAAGCAACAGAAATTCAAACACAAAATGATAGCACCAGAGGACCTTATTGTCGAAGGTGGACACTTTCCACCATTTACCGAGGAGTGTTGATCGCATGTATCTTGCGGCTGTCCAAAGTATATTGTCCAGAATACTCACCAGTACTAAAATCAGGATTTATGGAAACTTGATATAGGTCAGATTGCTCAGTAATGAAGCCCACACCTTCACTTTCTTCAGGATTTTCTTGTTGACTCCATGGATGAACAATGTATTTTCTCATCCTTTCTAATTCCATTGCCACTTCTTTCATTGTTGGCCTTTCCTCACCATTTAACTTGAGGCATCTTTTGACAAGCTCAGCCACTGCATTAAATTGCTCGAAACTCCCTTCCCTCAGAATTCTTGGGTCGAGAATTTTGAATAGACGATTGTACAACAAAATATGTGGACAGGTTTCTTTCCTCTTCAGTTTTGTCAGTAGAGAGTGGTTTCCTTCCCGTCATGAGCTCTGCTAGAACCACTCCAAAACTATAAACATCGCTTTTCTCTGTCAGTTTTCCTGTATGGAAGTACTCGGGATCCAAATAACCTAAGGTTCCTTGGACTAGAGTAGTCACTTGTGTTTGATCAATAGGCACCAATCTTGAAGCTCCAAAATCTGCTATTTTTGCAGTATAGTATTCATCTAATAATATATTGAAAGATTTGACATCTCTATGAATAATTGGCATTGCTGATGCAGAATGAAGATAGGCTAATGCACCAGCAGATTCTGCAGCAATTCTCAAACGATTTTCCCAAGAAAACCAAGGCTTTCCCCCACTGTTATGGATATGGTAAAAGAGTGTATCGTTTGGGACATATTCATAGACCAACGAAGGAACTTCTGTCTCCAAACAACATCCCAAGAGCTTAACCACGTTTCGGTGGTTAACTTGGGTCAGGATAATTACTTCGTTGATAAATAGTTCAATTTGGCTTTGATCCATTATTCTCGACTTTTTTATTGCAACTATACGGTGATCGCTCAGAATTCCTTTATAAACTGTGCCATAACCACCACGGCCAAGGATACGATCTTCAGCATAGTTGTTGGTGGCCTTCTCTAGTTCTTCCGCAGAAAAAACTTTAGCTGATTCCAAGCTACCTTCAGTTGAAAGTTGCTGCTTCAATAGAAAACCACCATTTTGTTGGAAGAATTTCTCTCTGAGTTTAATTATCTTCCTTTTTTGAATGCTGAAGTATGACCAAGTAATACCGATCATCAAGGCCAAGAAGCCAAAACCAAGACCTGAAAAATTTTGGGTCAGCATAGATATTGAACTTAGCAACTCATGCTGAATTAGGTTAATCTCAGTAAATTAAAATGATGATCACCACTTTTTACCAAAGCATTAAACCTGGACATGATTACTTTTACTATAATTTTCATCAATTCCAGAATAATGATAAATATCAGATTTTCGACTTACAAAACTTAGGCCTTTTATGATAAAATCTAGATTGATGTAAAACAGGTCTACAGTAGAAAGGGTAGGGAATTGTTTCTAAGCGTTTTCAGTTTGAGACAAGGATGAGTCCTACTCAAATATTGGTTTTGGTCTAGTTATTCAGAAATATTCCTCTCTGATGCTCAGTTTCGGTTTTTTTTCTTCTGTATTAGTGCAATGCAGTGCAACGAGGCACTCCTTTTTTATTTGGTTTACAAATCTTTTCATCCTTGCCGGTAAAGTCAGAGATATACAAGAATTCTTATCAAGCAGAAATACCTAAAGACATCGTCGTCACTGGGAACCGTGAACTCTGTGTATTGCCGCCGCGGCCATCTTTTCTGCCATCACTGAAGTATCCACATGGGCAAGAACAATTATAACTTCCTGCAGTATTAGTGCATATTCCTTGTGGATCACATGGATTATTCTCACATTCGTTTACATCTGGCAGACAAAATAGGATATTTATCTCAAATAAGTCTGAAAAGTGAGTTGATAAATTTCATGTTGTCTATTATATTCGTTATGGCCTAAAAACAGCATATGAACCTTTGGCCCTCGTAGCCATTGAAACAGTCGCAGCGGGATCCTCTAAGACCATTATCAGAATCAATGCATTTACTATTTAGGTGACATGCAAAATCATTGGATTTCTGAGCTTCAGTTTTGAGTCCCAATCATCCAATCGAACACAATTGGGACATTTTCTTTAGTTCTGTTTTTGAATGTCTTATCAGAAAGGTTATACGTACGAAATGTAAAGTTGTCCTCCTCACCAAGAAAGGCATAACCACAAGGATCAAAGGAACAGACCTCAGTGTGATTATCAAGGCTTCCTAGGACAACGGAAAATCTCTGCAGGCCCTTCGGTATGGAGGTTTGACAGCAACCAATCCCCGAACAGTACCCATCGAGCAGATCCTCCTTTTCAGAACAAAGGGAAACGCATCCACTCGTGAAGTTACGCCCTTCTGTCCCTGCTATTAATGCTAAATCATCGCATCCAACGATGGTGAACTTATTCATTTCAGAAAAGAAAAGATATTTTGTTAAACGAATGGACACAGACAGGGGCGAATCTAGGGACTTGAGTCAGCACGGGCGGCCGTTGACCATCTACTGTCGGCCGCAATAAAATATTAAGAGTCCTTTTGATACTCGATTTTTTTTGCAAAAAATGCATTTTGAAATAATGATTTGATGGAAAACGTGTGACTAAAAATAAAGAAAAATTTTGAATTTACGTGTAATATTATTTTATTGAATAATATATGGATAAAAAGAAAAAATATATTTTGAAAAAAATGGGAATCGAACAAGGCCTAAAGTATAAATATAATAATTATTTTGTTTAAACTGAACATATATAATTTTGTTATAAGAATAAACAGAACTCATTAAATGGCATTGTTGCCAAAATTTGTATAATTCAAAGGAAGAGTGCAAATTTGAATCTTTAAAATTGTTTGCAATAAACCAGTCAAAACTTAACAAATATTATTTTGTTAAATTTAATATCACAATTCAAAGGTACCATAATAGTTAAATTAACAATAATTCTTACTTGAGATTACAAGTTCGAACCTTCATTGTCCCTTCCTATTGTATTTTGATAAAAATTATAGAATAAAAATAATACATAACAAATCATTGACAAGCCTCCATTTGACACTCATTTTAATCATTTTTACACAGTAGCAACATGACAATTCATGACAAGAGGTCAGAATTGAGTCAGAACGTATTTTTTAAGTGAAATGCCATTGAGAATGGACTGACTATTTTGCCCTCGGATTTTACTTGGGAATGTACACGTGCCGCCCAACACACAAAAATTTAAGGGCATTGATAGGGACTTAAAAATATGGCAACCATCACTTCCATTTTTTGACGCCATGCGGAATGTATATTGTCAGAATTAATTGAAAGTTGTATTACCTTGGGACCCACAAATGCTTCAAAAGTGAGAAAAAATTAGCTAAGAATGGGGGCAAACAGGCCGACTCGAACCCAAGACGTCAGGTTTATTCACGCCAGCTCTCACCAACTGAGCTGCAAGGAATTTTTGAAGATAAAATCAATTACCAGAAATATTAGGTAAAAATTTAATATACGGTTAACAAAAAAAAAAATTCTCCCACCGGACACAGAGTTCCCCCCTGTATAGTTGCCAAGGTTGTTATAGGCTTATAGCAACTGGATGCCACCCAATTCTTGATTCGCAAATGAGAATCTGATATATCTATAATCGTCCCGTAATTATGAAAGGCTTGGGAGGGTTTAAAGAAGTGTTGCAGTTGATGTCAAACAATGGATCTATAGAACAACCACTGCCTAAGCCAATGCCAAAAGGGTACGGAACAGTTAGATTTCCACATTTTCTCTGGCACCTGGGCTTGGTTATGTTTTTCCCTTTAGTTATGGTTTTGGGGGTTCGGGTTGTATTGACATTATCAGAAGCGGCCAAAGACAACGGAAGCCACAGGAGAAGGAAGAGAACAGAATGCAGAAGCATGTTTGTTAAGCTAACTAACTCGATGTGATTTTCATGCTTAATGTTATAAATAGGCAAGAAACAGTACTCTTGAACAAAAGTATGTCCCTTTGCTGCATTATCCATGCCTTGAGGCCAACATCAACTGAATATTTATTCTGAAGAGTCATTCCCTTTTGCTGAGTTGAGAAGTTCAATATTGACCTAATTTAGCGTGTATTTTGACTGAGTTCTATCTTACTTCATGTGATTTCATGGCCCGAGCTGAGTAAAACATTGTGAGCTCATCTAAAAATGTTCGAACTGATAGAAATGGACCTAATAAAGTCAAATGTAAAGGTTGAAATTATCCAACTACCAATCTCGCAATAAGAGAAAAAAACCTGATTTCATATTCGGATGAATATTTCAATTGCAACTACATATGGGTATCTTGTCCAACTACTAAACGTACAATAAGAGACAAAAACCTGGGGCAGATTTCAGGGGCGGAGCTAGGATCATTATTCAATGCGGGCAAAAAAAATTTGATGTGTCCGTATCCTTTACATGCTCTAACAATTTTTTTTCGATTGTTATCTTTATGACAAATATGGCCGTGCTCGCTTTGATTATCTACTTTTATAGAGCCATGATTTTGTCTAGCGGTATCGTGTTACTTCCGTCAACTACTTCCTATAGGTCTTGTCCTTGGAGATAAAATTTTATGTAAATTTTTCGCGTGGTATAATTTTTTGTTATTGAACTTTTTCATTACGTCTACAACTTTTAGATTTTCTATCGTGATTTAATTACCTCTTTGTAATCAAACAAACTTTATAGAAGTTTTAGAATTTCCCTTTGTTCACGAACTCCAAAAGCTCAAAAATTCGTCTATGATTGCTACTCTCTAATATCAAATTGTTAAATTTAAATATTAAAGAAACAATTTAATTGATGAAAATTTATGTAATATTTTGTCACAAAACACACTCTCTCTCATCAAATACCAATCCACGCCACCTCGGCTGACTTTTATCATTTGGTGGATCACTCATCAAAAGCGATTATTTTCAGAGACCAAAAATCACCCTCATGAACATCTAATCAAATTTTTAATTACCAAATGGGGCAAAAAGGGTGATCTATTTATTTATTTCAGAAAAATAGTAGTCGTTGAGAAATTTTGAAACGGGACAACCTTTTTATGATTTCTACAGGGAGAAAGAAGAAAGGGGTGAAAATGATATCCTACCGTCTCTCAATTTTCTTAATTGATTACATCAGTGTGTGTGTGTGTGTGTGTGTGTGTGTGTGTGTGTGTGTATATATATATATATATATATATATATATATATGGTTCTCAACAACACTCACTCCACTTTGCTGCAAATTTTGTCTCTCTCTCTCTCTCTCTATCACAACACTCGATCCACTGTCTCTCACTTTCTCTGTTTCTCTTATATATATATATATATATATATATAGACACACACACACATCATAGCACCAGAGCACCTTAAAGATTTTTCATTGTTGATGATTTACTCACTTTTATGAGCTTTTCCCTTCCAATTTGTGGGCACCCAGAATCGAACTGAAGTGTGAAAGGAAAAGAGCCATATGCCCTCACTGGACCCTTTGTAGCTCTGCCCCTGGCAGATTTGTCAATCAATTTAAATGAGGCAGGTTCTTGTAAATCTGGAAATGAAAAGCTTAAAGGCAAAGTCAAGGAAAAAAAGAAGTCGGGATCAAAAGTTGAAGAGAAGAAGGGAACATTCCTTGCTTCAATATCATGAAGATCGCTTTTTGAAACATTAGGGGTATGAATCCACCCCTTAAACAAAATGGGATTCGGGAGTTTATCAAGCAACATTGCATTGATATTATGGGAATTTCGGAAACAAAATTAGGGGACCAAAAATTGAAGAGGATTTTGCGAAATAAGTTTGATGGCTTCATGCAAGTAAATAATTTTTGCACGCATAGGGCCAGGAGGATCTTAATTTTGTAGAATCCATCCAAAGTTTTTTTTGGATGTGATGAAGGTTCATCCACAAATTATTCATTGTAAAGCTAAGTTCTTTTACTTTTCTTGTGAGTTTTGTTTGTGAATTTCATACCATGGTTAACCGAAGGCCACTTTGGAATATCATTATGGAGTTGAACGCAAACGTGTCGTTGCCTTGTTTAATTCTTGGTGACTACAACAATGTTCTTAAATTTGATGAGAAATGTAATGGGACGGACGTTACCCCTTATGAAATTAAAGATCTTGCAAATTGTTGCTTTCATGTGGGTCTTACGGATGTGCGCTCCATTGGTTATTATTACACGTGGATTAATGGTTCGGTTTGGAGCAAAATTGATAGGGAAATGGTCAATAATTTTTGGGTGCAAAATGGGGCATATGTTGATGCAAATTTCCTACCCTTCGGATGCCTTTCCGACCATTCCCCTTGTATTGTCTCTATACATGACCGTGTTGGTAGTGCTAAAAGACCTTTCAAATTTTTTAACATGCGGACCAAGCATGAGGACTTCAATGATTTGATTCGAGCTTGCTGGAATTTTTACTTGCGAGGAACAAAACAATTAATCCTTTGCAAGAAATTGAGCAAACTTAAGGGTGCTTTGAAAGGGCTTAATTTTAAGCATTTTGGGCACATTTCGGCTAGAGCAAGTGAGGAAAAAATAATTTTGAGGCTGCCTAATTACAGCTACATAATCAGCCCATGAATGTGCATTTTCAACTTTTGGTTGTGAAATTGAGGAAGAAGACCGTTGATAATGTGAAGCGAAACGTAATTTTTATTACCAAAAGGCTAAGTGTGTCTTCCTTAAGCAAAGTGATAAATGCACAAAGTTCTTTCACTCGACGGTTAAAAGGAATTCTAGGAGGAATTTTATTGCTACTATACTTAAAGAAGATGGGACGTATACTACATCACAAGATTAAGTTGCCATGGAATTTATCAATTTACTTCTTTGCTGAGGAAAAATTGCCCTACTCGGCCTATTGAGATGGATATTGTTACTAATGGTCCTTTGGAACAAGGCAACACTTTGATTCGGGACATTTCTTGTGAGGAAATTAAAGATGCACTTTTTGATATTGAAGATGACAAGTCTCCCAGTCCGGACGGTTACACTGCTTGTTTTTTTAAGAATGACCGGGAGACTATTGGTGATGATTTTATTGGGGGTATCATGGAGTTCTTCTCTTCGGGTTTCTTCCTCAAACAAATCAATCACACGGTCATTGCTTTGGTACCTAAATCGGATCACACCCCGCATGTTGGTGATTTTAGGCCCATCTCGTGTTGTAATGTTACTTACAAAGTGATTGCTAAAATTCTTGCTTCTAGATTGAGACCCATGTTGGGAGACATTGTTGATCATGCACAAGCTACTTTTGTGGAAGGTAGGATTATCAGGGAGAACATTCATCTTGCCCAAAAACTCTTAAGGCAATACAATAGGAAAATGATTGCTCCAAGATGCCTCCTAAAAATTGATATTTCAAAAGTTTACGATTCGATAAGTTGGGATTTCCTTAGAGATGTTCTTCATGGGTTGCAATTCCCCTCGGGATTTGTTTATTGGGTTATGGAATGTATCACTTCTACATCATATTCTATAGCTTTGAATGAGACTTTGCATGGTTTTTTCAAAGGTAGGAAGGGTCTTCGACAAGGTGAACCCCATCCCCCCTTTTTATTTGTGCTTTGTATTGAATACCTCTCAAGATTGCTTAAAGCTACCACGGATGATAGTGATTTCAACTTTCACCCAAAATGTGGCCCCCAAAAGATCACACATTTAGCTTTTGCGGATGAGTTGATGCTATTTGCTAGCTGAGACATTATGTTGATAAAAATTCTCATGGATTTCCTTTCAACTTTTGGTTCGGTTTCAAGATTAAGGTTGAACGTTCTTAAATCCAGCTTGTTTACTGCTAGATTTCATGGACAGCTTCTTGAAGATATCTTGGAATTAATAAGTATTCCAAGGGGGAGTATGTCATTTCGGTATTTGGGCATCCCCCTTGCATCAGAAAAACTTAAAGTAAGTTGTTATGCTTCTTTTCTTGACAAAATAACAACATATATTGGTGCATTGAATTGTTCTACATTATCTTATGCAGGCAAGATTGAACTTATAAGGGCAGTTCTTCAAGGAGTCGAATGTTTTTGGCTCTCTATTTTCCATATTTCGGCTACAATTATATCAAGGATTGTTAGCCTTTGTCGAAAATTCCTTTGGGGATCAAAAAAGTCGTTAGTTGCGTGGAAGAATCTTTGCCTTCCAAAAGAGGAAAGGGGCCTTAGATTAAAGGACTTGAAGATGTGGAATTTAGCTTTACTTGCTAAATCCCTCTGAAACATTCATCATAAAAAGGACACCCTATGGATTCGGTGGGTTTATCAAGTTTATCTCAATGGGACTTGTATTTGGGAGGTTCGTCCTAAAAGAGATCATTCTCCACTCTTCAAGAAATTGCTGGAAATCAGGGACATTTTTTGTGAAAATGGTGCTGCCCAACAGTTTTTAACTAATGGACAGCAAGGGGCGTCGGGTCAAATGGACGCTGGCATTACCCCTTCTCGGCATGCTATTTTTGGGCCAAATTACACTGCTGGGAATGCACAGAACTTGGGGAAAAATGGGCACAATCTGGACAGCATTACAGACCGACAGAATGCTCCATTCGGTAGGCAGTTTCTGGAATTTTTGGACGAAAAACTGGGCTGTACTACAAGTGATAAATTCAGCCCGAAAATGGCCTACAATTTCTTTAGGCCTAAGGGTACATTCAAGACTTGGGAAGCCGAAGTTTGGAAACCGTGTATCACACCGAAGCATACTTTTATGCTTTGGTTAGGGGCCCAATCAAAGCTTCTAACTAAAGACAAATTATTTTTTTTGGATATTGATCGCAAGTGTGATTTTTGTGGGCATTTTGTGGAAACTTGCGACCATATTTTCTTTAAATGTTCTTTCATATCTACCTTATGGGGAAATATTAGGTGATGGCTCGGCATTAAGAGATCTATGCTAACACTTGCTAGTGATCTAAAGTGGTTGAAAAAGAAGGCCCGTGAGACTTCCTGGCTAAGTAAGGCGAAAATAATTGCTCTTGCAAGCACCGTATACTACATTTGATTAACAAGCAATAGGAAGATTTTTGAGGACCTCTCACCCAACTTGGATGGCATTGTGAGATGGATCAAGATATACGTATACAAAGTTATGTTTACCTTGTATCCGGATGTCTTGATCCATTTCGAATCCTTGGCATTGGGTCATTGATCTTTTATGTATTTCACTTTCTTTTGTCTTTTCTGGGTATGCCTGGAGTAATTTTATGTGACATTGGCTCTTGATTCGCCCGGGAATACTCGGTGTACTTGTAAATGAAACATTTTATCAATGATATTTACATTTACCGATCAAAAAAAAAAAAGAGAGACAAAAACCTGATGTCACGTTCAGATGTATATTTCAATTGTCAACTCACATATGGATTTCTTGTTCAAGTGCATATCGTCATGGCCAGCATGACAACCCCAGTGACATTTATTAAGTTAAACCAATGAAAAATTGTACTAGTTAATGTATTTGTCCTAATCAAAAGATTAATATGAATCTAATATCAATTCCTTAATCTCTTCTAATCTTGAAACAGAACTATCACTAAGGGCAAATCACATTTTTGTCGTTGCAAATCACGAACTAGTGCTCACCTTCAATAAATTAGAAATTCACGAGTTAAGGCTCGCCTTCGATAACTAAGATTTTGCCAAGCTTGATTCTCTTGTGTTTGCCTCATAAATAATTTCAACAATCTCTTCACAAGTCAAAACTCATGAACCAGTAGCAGAATATGAGAAACCACAACAACCCATTACATGATTCAATAAGAAGCGAGCCAACACTTATTTTTCTCCAATGTCGAGCAAGGCATTCTACTAAATGTGATTATTTTCAAATGCCATTGACAGATTTTTACCGGTGAATAAATAGAATTGGGCGCTATGTCAATTCCATTGAATTAATTTACATTTATGAAGAGAATATAGTAGATTTTGTAATGACTCTATAAAGTACAAATTGAGACAGAGCTTCTCAATTTCAGTTATAATAAAATAGATGAGTATGTGTAATACAACAGAATATATTTTTATGAAGCATCAGAATTAAGAAGTGTAATTCTCTGGTACGAAAATTTCAATTGCTTTATCAAATGATTCAAACTACCTGCAGAAGAAATCAAAGCAGCACACAAGTAAAAAATAAAAAAAATACAGCAATTATGAGAAAGTATACATCGTTGACATCTTGTTGTCAAGAAAATGCATAGATTGTCATACATTTATTTCTGCTACAAATGAGCATAAAATATTTGATTCCAGGTATCAGGAACTCCTGGTAAACACCAATGTATGCAATCTGCATAATGTAATGGATCAGCCTTCTCTTCATCAGTCAATAAGTTGCCTCCCATCTCAGTATAAATTGACGAGTGAGCATCAATTCTGTATTCTGATAGTTGAGTTATGTTGATTACTGTAACAGGAACTTTCATCCTTTCGACCACGCCGGCCACCGCACTCATCATCCGCTTGTCCGAACCGGTTCCCCAGTGTCGTTTCTTCGTTATAGGCTTCGTTTCGTTGAAACATTTAGTCCCGTTCATCTTGCCCCAATCTGCGCTCCTGAAGAGAAAAAGGACGAAAGAAATGGTATCAGTTGATTTCGAAATGCTAAAAGCTGGGGAATTTTCTTGCATAGGAGTTGAGAGAGACCTTTGGTGTGTAGGCGACATGGTAGTAAAGAACACACGTGTTTTGTTTGGATTAATGTTTGAATCGACCCAATTTGCCCATGTCTTTAGGCCTATTCTGTAAGAAACATGCGCATCTAATTCTTCGTAACCTTCTTCTCCATTGGCAAAAGAACCCCATCTGTGGTTCATTAGACGCAGTTTGAATTAAGATTAGTTCATTTGATTTGCAAGCATGTTCCTGAACAGGAGAACTTACAGTGATTTGATATTGAGGCTACTCGTCCACCAAACATAAGTATTAAAGACAAGGATATCAACTCCTGTCCAATGCTTGGCATGGTTGGCAACTGAATCAACTTTTAGAATTCTCTTCTTTGGATCTACTATTATATGAACGTCTGAGTTGGACTCTACTAGAAATGGAGCCCAGTAGAACTCAATTGTGGCATTGTATTCCTGAAAAGAATGTGAAACTTTTTGGCTTAGGAATTCATGAGGAATATGAAGAATTTATATAAAACAAGACACGAAAATTGTCAGCTTATAAGTCAATAATTAGGATTATGAGTAACAAAATGCTGCTTTCTATGTACCTTAGCTTTGAAGACTGAATGCATATGGCCTCGTTTCATGGATTTCTGGTGTTGGGGTATCATGGATTCAACAAGGCAAACAAAGGATTCCCATTGTCCTCTTTGAAGTGAATCCCCCACAAACATTAGCCTTTTTCCTTGAATTTTTTTCAGCGCAATTTGAGGATCAAACCTGAACACAAAGTGATTGCAGAAAGTTGTATATCTGTTACAATACAAGAAATTTGAGTACAGAAGATTATGCATAAGATAGAATTGCTTTTCATTTTATGATGCACGTCGAAAGATATAGAGGTGTCAAATGTGTTTCGATGACCTGATCCAGGCATGTCACAGTCCCCCCTACAGATGGGCAGTGTCCGGCCTGGCTACAGGGGCTAGTGACCTGCCTGGGTCATGTCAGGGGTCGAACAACCTCTTCTTAGAAAGGCTGAGAAAGATCAAATTTGTAGGCTATGCCAAACCCACATATTCTTCCTTTTTTTCTTCTTCCGGCCCCCTCGGGATTTTTAGTCAAGTGTCGCTAAGGGATTCCCCTTCCAAAGGAAATGCTGGCAGGGTAGAGCTCAGCAGAGGGTTCTAGAATAGGGTAGGGACATGAGTATTTTGGGCGTGCCTATAATGAGGCAACTTACCTAGGCAACATACAATCATCAGGCTGCCATTGCCAATGACGGTAATCAAAATCAAGGCGTCCGTTCTTGACACAGGAGAATTGTCTGTCCACATATGGGCATGTGCTGTCTGAGTACAGCGGCTTAACTGATCGATTGAACACCCATTTTCCATGAGCTAGACTGCATTCTTCTGGATCAAACTCAAACCTGTCATCATCTGCATAACTAATTGGCTTGATGTACTCATCACCTGTCAAATCATCAAAACACAATATCATCAAATGGCCTGGCATTTTCCATAACAGGAAAAATATTGTGGAATCGCCTCGTCTAAAATTTAAACTTTAAAGCCATTAAACACTTACGTGACTTCTTCAACTTTGCAGCATGTCGTTTAGCACTGCAGAACGTGAACCGGAAGATGGAACCGGAAGAAAGAGGGCTGATTCTTTCAGTGTACAAGAGAACTACGAACGCCAAGGCACAAACAGAGATGGCAATGATCGACAATGGTACTTTTCCCCGCTGATACTTGAGCATGCCCATGTCCAACAGCTAATAGGAACACTCTGAAGGGGAAAAGTACAGATTGAAGATAAATAAAAAAGGAGAGATTTGTAAAGGATAGGCAACACAAGTGGGGGAAAAAAAATTAATGATGAGCACAATTGAGAGATGTTTTGCAGGTTATTTTTTGCGGGTTTTTGAGTAGACGTGAAGCTAAAGCCATATATATAATGCAAGAATATGTACACAGACTTTATGTTATGTGAATTAGAACATAATTCAACTTGTTAGTGAGTAAGGTGGAAGGGAAACCTCTTGGGCTCCTCATCTCTTTTACACATAATAGAAGCTATCAATCATTAGTTGGGAAAGGTATTCTGTTGCAACAAAGTCAATTCTCTCTCTTGTGTTTTCTCATAACTTGAATATACAGTAACAAGAATTCCACATCAAAGGTTCAACTTATCAATCAAATGGTTCCCTTGAGAGCAAATTAGTAGATTTTGATAAAAGTGAATGAAATGTGTTGTTGAAAATTTGGTAAAAATTGCAAGTTTCATAAAATATATGATTAAAATTAATTAATGACTTTGACTTCAATTTATCAACCTTTTATTAGCTAAATCAAACACGTTCTAAAAGTATTGTTTAATAAAAGTGTAGCCTATAAACATTTTGTAAATGTGTGATGAAGATAATTATATTAAGAATATGATTATTCTTCTTGGACAGGGCTTCGGCGATGTGGCGCCCCCCTATAGCAGATTAATACCATAAAAAGATGTGATTTGTTTGTTTACTTTTCTATTCGACGTGTTAGTTTATCCTTATGGAGCTAATAACGATAACAGTTAAAAGGAAAATTCATGAATTACCTAGATAACTTGTTCATGACTGAAGAAAGAATAGTTGTTTATACAGAAGAAAATCCGCAGATTTTCTTTCCACTTAAACTTTGACTTAATATTGGAGAAGAAATAGTTAAATAACAAAAGAGAAGAAGAAAATAAATCCCACATACAATTGTTAGATTTGCTGTTTAATCAAATCATTAATATGTTGTTAACAACCTTTTAACATAATTGAAATTATAATAAATTACTCATGATTTGAGTGACAAGTATTTGGGAACGTTCTTGAATATTGAATCAAACACAATGAATAGACTTCTCAACAGTTCAAGACTCTGAATTTTAACTGTTGAGAGAAAGAAGATGAGAAGTCATTTATCTATTGGTTGCGGTGGGATCCAAATTAAATTTTTACATCATGAAGGTTCTGATTTTGTGGTTGTAAAAAATCAACTGAAATAGATAAGATGAGTGCACATCAATTTTGATATAAATTTGGTGTTAAACAATGGCATGATAATGTTTATTAAAGGTGTAACATCACTTTGAAAGAATTTTGTGGCGTTGAAAATGTCTATGGCATGGCATGGCATGGCATGGTTAGTCTTCTTCTTACAAGGCCGTTTATTCTAACGATGTTGAATCACAATGAGTATCTTACTAAAGTCGAAAATATTGTTATTTTGTAGGTCTTCATAGTTAATTTCTTCTCTATAAATTGTACCCAAAAAAGGGGTGCAACATTTGGCCCGTGGGCACTCTAATATTTATGTCAATTACGGGAACTTAAAAAGATATTTGAAAAATGAGATTTATGTTGACTTAATTATTTTACGTGATCGTGTATTTTTGATGCAACATTAATCTCTAATTTGAGTTTTCTGAGATAATCGACCTCCGAAACATAAAATGCCAATTAATTTCTTCCCTTGTTCTTACACTCTTTAAAAGAGTTACACTATACAAGATAGTCCAACTGATCCTATAATAAAAATACAACTATCCAATAACATAAATAATGTTCCTATAACTATATTAAGAACTCGTTCGATATGACTTTTGCTTCTTGTAGAAGAGCTTTTGAAGAAAACTACCCTAATTTTTGTTTGAAAACTAATTTTTAAAAGCACCCATTTCGGAATTTCTTTTAGAAGAAGCCACATTTGACCGCTTCCTCTAAAAGTTCTTCTAACTATTGAAAGCAATTTCATAAAATTAACAAATGGATTCAAAAATACTTTTGAGTCCAAAAACTTCTATTGATTTTTAGATGTGAGGTAGAATAATAAATTTTTGAATGACATTCTTAAGTCCACATAGTTATGATTAAGCTCCTGTTCGGCTTTGCTAATAAAAAATAAAAGAAATTATTAGATTTTGATAAAAGTAGATGAAATATGTTGTTGAAAAGTTGATAAAAGTTGCGGGTCTCATAAAATATATGATTAAAATTAATTGATAACTTTGACTTAAATTTATCAATTTTTTTCAGCTAAATCAAACACGTTCTAAAAGTATTGTTTAATAAAAGTGTAGCCTATATGCATTTTGTAAATGTGTGACAAAGATAATTATATTAAGAGTAGGATTATTCTTCTTGCCACAGGGTCTACGTGGCCCTATCCATATAGCATAGTCCTTAAGAGTAATGCCATAAAAAGATGTGATTGGTTTGTTCACTTTTCTATTCAATGTGTCATTTTATCCTTATGAAGCAAATACTGATAACAGTTAAAAGGAAAATTCATGACTTACCTAGATAAATTGATCATGACTGAAGAAAGAATAGTTGTTTATACAGAAGAAAATCCACTTAAAACTTTGACTTAATATTGGAGAAGGAATAGTAATATAACAAAAGACAAGAAGAAAATAAATCCCACATAAACTTGTTAGATCAGCTGTTTAATCCCATCATTAATATGTTCTTAACAACCTTATATCATAATTGAAATTATAATTAATTATTCATGATTTCAGTGACAAGTATTTGGGAACATTCTTGAATATTGAATCAAACACACTGAATAGACTTCTCAACAGTTTAAGACTGAGAATTTTTGCTGTTGAGAGAAAGAAGATGAGAAGTCATTTATCTATTGGTTGCAGTGGGATCCAAATTAAATCTTTACACCATGAAGGTTGTGATTTTGTGGCTGTCAAAAATCAACTGAAATAGTTAAGATGAGTGCACATCAATTTTGGTATAAATTTGGTGTTAAACAATGGGATAATAATGTTTATAAAAGGTGTAACATCACTTTGAAAGAATTTTGTGGCGTTGAAGATGTCTATGGCATGGCATGGTTAGTGTTCTTCTTACTAGGCCGTTTATTCTAGCGATGTTGAATCACAATGAGTGTCTTACTAAAGTCGAAAATCTTGTTATTTTGTAGGCGTCATAGTTAATTTTGTCTAAACAAAGAAAATTTATCTGGTATTTTGAAAAATGGTTGTGATATTTCTCTCGAGACATTTCTTCTCTATAAGTTGTACCCAAAAAGGGGGTGCAACTTTTGGCCCGAGGGCACTCTAATATTTATGTCAATTATGGGAATGAAAAGATATTTGAAAAATGAGATTTACATTGACTTAATTATTTTATTTAATCGTGTATTGTTGATGCAACATTAATCTCTAATTTGAGTTTTTTGAGGTGCTCAACCTTGAAAACATAAAATGCCAATTAATTTCTTCCCCTGTTCTTACACTCTTTAATAGAGTTACACTACACAAGATAGTACCACTAATCCTCTAATAAAAATACAACTATCCAATAACAAAAAAAAAAAGGTTATGCTACACGTACATTAGGGTGTTCATAACGATGCCCACCCTCTCACATAAAGGGGGATTCATTTCGAATAAAATATAATTTATTCGAAGTGGGTCTCCCTCCATTTGAGGGGGGTAGACATCATTATGGATATCGCATTATGTACAAATAACATATTCCACAAAAATAATACTCCTATAACTATATTAAAGACTTGTTCGACTGGCTTTTTTCCTTATAGAAAAGTTTTTGGAGGAAGCTATCATAATTTTTGTTTAAAAACTAATTTTTAAAAGCACCTATTTCAGAATTGCTTTTAAAGAAAACCACATTTAACTATCTTCCTCTAAAAGTTTTTCTAACTACCGGAAGTAATTTCATAAAATTAGCCAAACGAATTCAAAAACAGCTTTTGAGTCCAAAATCTTCCATTGACTTTTCAAAAGTCATGTCAAATAGCCCTTTCTCGTTCTAACTAAGAAACACGTAAAACTAGAATGGTAAACTATTTAGAAATACAACAAAAAAATTTCTTGAAATAGAAAAACTCGTTAGTTATATCGTTCGTTCCCTTGAAAATACATTTATCCTCGAGGGTAGACTCGAGTAATTTTTTAAGCATAGTCTCTCGAACCAAGCATCTTGGAAAATCTTTTTGTCAAATGGGGACTTCTACATATTTCAACCTTCAAACATAAAACGCTCATGCTCTCTATAATTGGAATTCGTTGAATACTTCAATTTTGCAACGATACCACAACATTGTTTCATTGCTTAACAACCTTAACATGCATTGGAATCGCCATATCATTACATTGTTGGAGACTTCGACTTTTAATTAAAGAAGTTAATTTTCTTCAACATGTTTGTCATCGTGTCCGCTAGGTGATGAATTAAACTTTCCATCCAACATTCCGATATTTCTAGTGTGTGACGTCCCGAAAATTTTAGAATAAAAATTTATTTGTTTTATATGGTATAACAATATATTTTGAAAAATATAAAGACTAAAATGAAATAGGTTTTAAATTCCTATGTTTTGGGTCAAATAATTAGATTTTGATAAAGCGAGCTTTAGTATATTAATATTGGGCTCTTTTTATAGCTTGTAATTAATTAGAAGCTTTCAACCCAAGAAAAAGTTTACTTGGATAAGTTTGAGTTAAGATAGAGCCTGTCAAAGAAAATCACAATTAAATATATTATAAAGGATAACTTCCAATTTTGCTTAGCCTGATCACAGTTTTTATGTTACCCAAATTAGGAAGAGTCGTGTTGGGTATACAACACTTATTGCTGTACACCCATACACCCTCTCACAATGAGGGGATCCACAAATATATTATTCATATGAGCCCCCTCACATTGTGAGATGGCAGTACACAAAGCTGTGTACCAGCAGTGTACAAGAGGTTTAATCCAATTAAGAATTAGTTTAATCTAGGTTGGGTGAATATTATGCAATTGATAAGTATTTGATAAATGGATAAAGATGTATGTACACACAAGAGGGTTACCAAATGGTTTACACCCCCTCACAAACATGTGGGTCCCATCTGTTATTAAATAATTCGAGCTGTGGTCTCCACTTTA